ACTGTTGATCAGCTCATGGAGATTTCCTACCGAGACAGCCTTTTAAAAAATACTTGAAACAGATTCTAATCGCCATCTTAAAGTTATGAAAACAGACTAAAGAGGTTGAAGGTGACAGCATTTGTAGAACAAAAGCTCCATGGATATTAAATTACCATTCTTACTTGCGCGCACGTGACAAAGAGAGATTTTCGTTCTGAATGCGAGATACCAGAAATACTCAACAAGACCATTAAGAAAAAAATTCTGGTGCGTCTACACGCATCAGCCGGACTGGTTTTAACCATAAAATCACGCGCCATTTAAAAACAGTTCACGTGTGGGCAATGCTTTATTAAGAGTTATTAAGAACGTTAATGTAATCAGTTGAAAAAATATGAATCGATAGAATTTACATCAAATGGTCACCGAGAAAAGAATTGCAGTTTATGATGATCCGAGTTTTTTTTATCTTGATTAGTTTGAGAAAAGTAATATGCATGTAATTTATGAAGCTGACATACACAGTTAAAATTCATGATATTCATGTTATCACTTATCAATATACAACCTCAGATAAAGGGAGATGTCATCCATTTTTATACGCCCACATTTAAGATGGGCGTATATTGTAATCACCCCGTCGGTCCGTCGGTCCGTCCGTCCGTCCGTCCGTTCACATTTGGCTCGTGCTCACTCTACAGGCTACAGTTCTTTATGGATTCTTTTGATTTTTATTTTGTATGTCAATGTTGTTATGAAGATGATCCCTATTGATTTTCGTGATGATCGGATAATTTTTCACCGAAATATCGTGTCTGACTTGACGTTTTTCTCTATTATCTATATTGTGCAACTCGTGCTCACTCTACAGGCTACAATTTTTTACAGATTCTTTTGATTTTTATTTTGTGTGTCAATGTCATTATGAAGATGATCCCTATTGATTTTCGTGATGATCGGATAATTTTTCACCGAAATATCGTGTCTGACTTGACGTTTTTCTCTATTAGCTATATTGTGCAACTCGTGCTCACTCTACAGGCTACAATTGTTTACAGATTCTTTTGATTTTCATTTTGTGTGTCAATGTCATTATGAAGATGATCCCTATCGATTTTCGTGATGATCGGATAATATTTCACCGAAATATCGTGTCTGACTTGACGTTTCACTCTATTAGCTATATTGTGCAACCCTGTAGTCACTAAAGACAGTTTAATCATTTCTGACAGCTGCCAGTGGGCGTATGTTACCTTGCCTGGCAAGCTATCTTTAACTATCCACACGGTTTTGTAGATCGAACTTAAGGTACAATATTTGTGATTGGAAAAACGGTAATCTAAATAAACATTATAAAGTATCAACATAAACAAGAAAATTGAAAAGAAAAATTCTAACAGTGGACCTATTAAGCCATGGTTCACCATTTTCGGAGGTTTTTTTAGCCTTTAGAAGATATTAAATTCTTCAGAAGTACCAGAACTGTGCCAAAATAACATAATTCCTTAAAAAGTACCTCAAACTAGGAATTCCCTTTTTATTTTATTTATTCATTTAGTTTTTTTTATTAAATTAGTTTATCGTCTGTCTGAAAACTAGGTTATCCGAAAATGTTTGCCTTGTTGATAAGGCTATAATACGATACATGGTGTACGAATAATTAGTGATTTCGCAGTCTTGAAAAAGACGATTTTAAACAGGCATATTTTTGGCTACACGTTGCTAGGACGACTGAAATGTTGACAGTAAGCTGTGAACACTAGTTGATGAACTCGCGAACCATTTCGTAGTAAAATAGACTTCACTGTTGTACCAACGTATCTTATGCTCTTTTTCATTGATATTTTAATGGTTCGGCGACATACTTTAAACTGTTAATAAGAAATTCCTCTCAACGGGTTCCTTTAATTCATGCAAGTCACAAATCTGGTTGAATTGAAGTGTCTAAAATCAATGATGCCACTTAAACCATTGTTATAGAGTTCTAATTTGGTTAGAAAATATCTATAGCATCCGGGGTCGATACTTTAATGTCTATGTTTATCATTCAGACTGGAATAAGCCTTTACTCGGGATTTTACATCGACAAACATTGATAAGATGACATCTTAAATTCTTATTCAATGAGGGTTTTATTTTATGGCCTGTAACCAATTACAAAATACCAAAGCTGAGCCCCGGGTTTCTTCCGATAAGAAGCAAGATTGAACTCTATCATTTGAAAAAGATATGAAATTCCCGCTCATGGTTAATAAATATGGCCTACGACCTGCAGTGTGCAATGACGGAAATGTTGCTCTGACAAAATCATTGGTCTACTAACTGTTCCAATCTATGGATCTTGTGCACTCTACGGAACTGATTTTCGGATTTCTTCTGATAAGCGAGGAATATGGAATCGCAAAATTCCGTCAAACTTTTTGCGTCATTCTTCCGAGTCACACCGGGACACAATAGACAATCACGGAAATATTGCAAAGACAGTTGCATTGGTGTACCCTTTATTGAGTTGTAGCTGTCGACGGATTTATCGCGTGTGTCATCGTTTCGTAGAAAGTTAATAGTACATTAAACAGCTTTAAGATGCAATCGCAATCTGTCGTGGCCACTAAATGTGATATAAACCTGATGAATGTCTATATTCAAATGTCTGGTCAAACCGATTTCATGAGGAAATATGGAGCCATAAGCGATCTTCCATCTTCACTGATAGCCTGAGAGCTGTAAAAGCACAGTGAATTAGCCCGCAAGAAGTTTTATAATTAAACGACTGGACGAAATTTAATTGTATAAGGTGACGTTGGTAGACATCATAAATTGCTAACAATGCTTGATGTGATTTAAGTGCCACTGGCTGGTAATATTCCCCTCCGTCATTTTGGTGGTCAATAAAATGTTGATATTACTGATGAGACCATGACAGGCTATCTGGATCTCGTGATCAAACCAGTATTTGCCAAAATGGCCCTCCGTAACAACAAGGTCAGCTGTCTTCCATACTGACAGTCTACAGCTACTTGATTAAATCACAGAGAAACAATCAATTCTCCAAGATTTACAACATCTTTAATGTCTATATAATAAACGTGATCGCTTCGATTTTTCTCTCTTAAATTATCTCAGACGACAGTAATAGAGAACAATATCATTCCTGGTGACAGTCGTGAAATAAAGAAGTCTGCAATTTTCCAAGCACTGTATTAGTTCTGCATCAGTGCTATTTTACCACTATTTTACCAAAAGTACATCTCACTTGTTACATCTTATTGTGAACGGTATATAACCAAGCTTCTTTCTAACTTCCCAAAAGAGATTTTGAACTATCTAGCTATCATTTTATGTTCAAAATATATAGAACTCGGAGAACCTTATTTCAGGTTGACGTGAACTGCTGGAAAGACGAGGAATGACGTATACGCTGAGTACAACATGTGGCTTTTTTGTCATTTGTAATTCAATTATTAAGAAGTATAACCTGAAAAAAAAAATTAACTTGGGCTTAACTAACAAAATAATTTACCCAAGTGAGTTGTTCCATTCAGCATTGGAATGTGTTAAGGGTTTGACTAATCCCTGTAAGTATTTGAATTGATTGCTAATTGATATACAATTACCACTAGATCACTGTGCCAAATGTGTCAAGTCTTCTGAAATCTTGTGTAACTTAAATATAATAAACACTAGGGGATAGGAAATCAAATTATTAAATGCCTAAAATGATTAGTTTCAATCTATTAAGAAAATCTTGAACTTTTATTTGGTTAATGGACAATAAACACGAGCACGCATTGTCGGTTTTTCGTCACGACAAAACCTCGAGTGATTTGAGGCTATCATTAGACAAAATGAAGTGATTAAAACAATTCTAAGGAGATTTTCCCATTGAAATCCAGACATTCTACTTTAAAGGGTCAGTCTGATTTTTTTAAAAGGTTTACAAAGCAGCTCGAATTAAGGAAAACTATATACCAAAATCTACAAAATTCTGTCCCCCATCTAATCAGAAAGTTTCAATTTAAGTATCACGCAGTTAATTTTTGATCGCTAAAACTAGGTTAAAGGTTAACGTAAACCTAACAGTCGCTCCTTTTTTGGTTGGTGTTTGACAAGTTACGTCAAATTTTAAGTAAAATTCCCTTTTGAAGGAAAAAATATTCAGAAGGTTTCTATCTTATAGAGTTTGTATATATTATATCTATAATTGTAGAGTAGTGGATTCCTCAGATGATTAATACCATCACGTGTTTCGAAGAGTAAGCATTTTCTGCTTCACGCACTACTATAATGGTCAAAATTAGGAAATATAACCAGATCAATTCATGTCTGACTATACGAATCAACCGCAATGCAAGAAGCCGTTGAAACACTACGCATTTTAATCAGCAAACAAATTCAGGTTGATTAAGAAGATTCATCGATGTTAATAGCTTACTCTCTAAATCTTTTCAAGTATAATTTAGTTTATTTTTGTAATGGTGATTTTGCATACCGCCCATTTAAACATTATTGGAATATTTTTGTCAGCTTCTTGGTGTATTTATAGTGACCAAAAAAATCAGTAAAACATAGCAGAAAATTAAATTATCCACTTTAACGTCAAAAGAAAAGGAAATATCAGTTAGAAGATGTTAAGGAATCCCCGGTGAACAAAAAGCTGTAAGAATTTATACTCCTGATGAACATTTATTCCATTAGATAAAATAGAATCTAAATTGAATTCCAATTCTCTCTTCTTTTTCAATATTGCCCGATTTTTATGGTCGAATCATTTTATAACACGAGGTGTTTGTTAATGTTTTCCCAATTAATGCTTAAAATATCTCCTTTTCAAACATAATATGGATAACTCATCAGCGAATTCTGAACTGATAAGATTCTATTGCACTCCTTCAAAGTTTCGAGCAGTGTGTTCTACGAGTATTCAACAATTATACCCGAAACGATGTTGGCTTTCAAGTTTATAGTATGTGTTTTAATGATATACCATCAATAACCTCGATTTAAGTTAGCAAAAAGTTTTATAGCGTTTGGGGTTTATAAACAGAAAAGGCTTGTAATATCAATAGTTTACTGCGGAGAAGACATAATGCTATTCTGAAAGCTAAAATAGGCACAGACATTATGTTAAGTCAAGATCGTTAGATAAAAGCTAAAACACTTTAGCGTCAAGAGGATGGTGTTGAATAGAGGTGCCGGTGGTAGAAAATTGCAAAGGGTGGGGGAATTTTTTGGTAACTGTTCATTGGAGGATGGTGCTGAATATAAGTGACCGTTAGTACAAGTTTCACCGTACATATTTTATACTTGATTTTGTTGAGCTTTTCGCCTAATACATCACTTTTCTCAAATGGAATATATAGTGCATTGGAAATCGTTAAGTAGCTCGCAACATATGGTCTACTAGAATTGATTTAAGTATACATAAATCCACATCTCTATTCCCTAGGCATAGCGACAGTCAGTCGGGGGATATAAATCTTATAAGACTAATTTAAGTGAAGATTTATATCGGCATAGGAAATAACGTGGCCATGCAGATTTTGACACGACAGAAGAGAGCCACAACTGATCTTAAGTCTAGTCATTTGCCACTGATTTTCTTGTGTTTGTAAAAAAAAAAAGATCTGAATCTGCGATCATCCAGTTGATTGTAACTAGAACTTTCAGATGGACCCGATAAAATGCTGTCCATCGTCGACCTTTCCGTTATACCCCTTTTGCTACAATCCGTACGATCAAAGATGTTTTCCAGTGTGATCCTGACAAAAAATATTCATATTTGAATGAAACTCGAAACTAATTTCTATCTTTCTGGGCATAGCGACAATCATGTGTGTATTATAAATCTTGTGTGGTCGTATATCAAATATAGTCCTTCTGGTACAACAGTAAGAGAGTCAAAGATTGAGATGTAGCTGAATCCCCCTGGGAACGATATTTGCCAATATGATAAGGGCAAGAGATTAATTTATCTGGTATAAAATGAAGAAAGAAACCATTAATGCATAGACAGATAAGGTAAATTCTGTGAACTCGAGGGAAATTAGTGTATTCCATTTCATCAAATTTATAAACACCTTTCATTGAGATTCATCTTTAGGAGGAAGAGGTTACAGATAAGTTATATTAAACTGACCGATGTAGTAATTCTTGAATTGGCTATTTAATGGATTAAAACCGACTGTTACTTCATGAAACGGTATTATAGACCACTCACGAAAATGTTTCATACCATTCCAAGAATTTTGATTTACATTGATTTTAGAATGTCTAAAGACTAAATCACTCAATTATTTCAAGAATATGCGTCTTCACGACTACGTAGTGCTCTGGACAATTGGAAAACAGAATCTCAATTCAGTGTTTCTGATTCATGAATGTCTACAACTCTTGTTACAGTCTAATTTCTAGTTCAGCCAGGGATATTGTTTGGAAATTATTTGTAACAATTTCCAGTAGGAGAAATACATAATTTATTGTTTAACAGTTTATAAATAAACAACATAATATTGTAATTGCTTACAAATGTTCTATGGTAACCTTGCATTATGGTTGTACCATTCTCATATCAACATTAATTTAACTTTAATACATATTATCTGAATGCATCCTCTGTATCTGGTGGTATGTATTTACATCTTTATAAAATATCTTGTTATATATTGCAACATTGTTGGACTATTGAGGGTATTTGAAATATAGCAGATATGTTATTTTATGGGAAATCGTTTGTAACCATGTTATTGGCCATTTTGCAAATAAGTATCGTTACAAATTACAACTCAAATCTGGTAGCGAAGAGAATCCGAGATCGTCAAAATTCACTACAGTTTCGCGCAGTTCACTCATTATTCGATTTGAGCACAACACAGGTCGTTTAGGACGGATTCACATAGGTGGTTGCAAATTTGAATCAAAATTAAATCAATCACATACTTCAGATGGGAGCAGGCTAAAATGTAGTCTTTTTGAGGTGTCTAATTCATTGGGAGGACTTTCCGCGCTTGAGTAATAAATAGACACTTTCTGGATATTCATTGAGACTTATTTTTTTATTCAAAAATAAATCTTTATAAAATGTGTTAATTGATTAAAGAAAAGCAGACGAGCAAGTGAAACTGGTATGATTAGTATAAAAAAGTTAATCGTAACCTGTAGCAATTTTTTTGTTGTTATAGATTATATTTTAAGCCTTAGAAAGCTTCTGTCCGACTGACATTTACTAGGATTGCATGGTATATGTGAAGGATTTCTGTTTGAGTAAAAACAGTGTTGTCTATCCGCCATAAGGAAAGTTTTTATCGTTGGAGACTAATCTTAATTGATGTGTACATCAAATAAATTGATTTAGAGAGAAACACATATATAAGCGATGTACACTTAATAACCGGAAAAAAAGTGTCCGTATACATTTACATCAAAAACATAAATTGAGATGTGTCTTTGATAAATGTACAAATAAAGTACATGTAGTGTTACATTCGAATTGATATCCAGCATACTGAATGAACTAAATTACAGGGGAATAAATCTGAATTTGCATATGTAATCAATTAACTCTATTAAAGAGGGAAAAATTGTGTAATCAGTGGGCTGTATTAAAGGGATAAGGTGGGTTGAAAGTGAAAAACCCATGGACTGAATTACAGATAGATAATTTAAAAAGGGTGTATGTAATCCAATGGATGTATTAAAAGGGATAAATAGGATGGGAGTGTTGGAAAGGGTGTAGGTAGTCAATGGGCTGTAATAAAGGGATACCAATTAGAAGAGGCGTGTAATCTATGGGCTGTTTTAAAGGGGAAAGGTTAGAATGGGTGTAAGTAATCATTGAGCTGTATTAAAGCGGGGTAAACTGAAATGAGAGTGGATAACCCATAGGCTGTAAGGGAAATGAATTAGAATGGGTGTGTGTGATCAATGACCTGTATTAAACAGGGGTAAATTGAAATAAGAGTGCATTATCCATAGGCTGTATTAAAGGGAATTAAATGGGAATTGGTGTGAGTAAGACTTAATCACAGGGGGTTAGTTGGGATGAATGTGAAAAATCCATGGGCTCAATTACAAGGAGATAAATTGGAATGGGCATGTGTAATTAAAGGGCTGACTCGAAAATATGATAGAAAGGGGAAAATCCATGGGCTGTATTCAACTGATTACAGTGAGCTAAACATGGTAGGGAATGTATTCACAGAGTAGAGAAAAATATTTTTAAAAGTTATGTTGCATGCGTGAGTGTAGAGATCTTACAACTATGTATATGGTTATATCACGACTCACCTGTATATTCCACACCAATTTCCGTTGTCATCGCCTCCAGAATATCATCTACCGTTAGAAACTTGAAATATGTGTGGGTAAAGTTGAATTCTTCATCACTTCTGAGTCCAGTATGTAAACCATCGGTCACCAGATGACACAATAGTTCAGTAATTCTTTCTTGTCCTCGTGGATCATATACTAATTTCACCCTTCTCCATTCAAATGTATTGAGAAGACAACGAACGAAATGGTACAAAGAGTTAATATGTGGACCGATTCTAGTCATTGTAGGATAGGTTTCAATCTTTTTCAGACCAAAGTTTCTTGCAAGGCCACCGGCAGTGATCATGGGAATATTCCAAAATTTACTCTGCCGACCAACTGGTGCTGCAGAGTAGTCGCAAACCGGCCCGAAGAAAACATCAACTCTTTTCTCGGCATAGAAGTTGATGGCCTCTTTCATGCCATCAGCTATTGAACAATTGGAATCGGCATAATATACCACTAAATTAGTAACTGTCAATAATTTTCTCCTTTCAACTTCTTTGACTGCTATTTCTACGGCAGTTCGTACTCTTCTGTACGAAAACACATAACTATCATTAAATGGAAGAAGGGTTAAAATTTTAGCCATATGAAATGATTTGGTAACAGCCAAAGTTGGCGTAGAAAGCATCATACACAGAACGAGGGTTCGAAGTATTCTAATCATTGTGGCTTCTTGGTAAAACGGCAGTAAAAATCTTAAAATTAAAGCACTTTTGACAATGTATGTATCCACACGAAATTTAGACATAGGCCATTTCACTTTTCTGTATCACAGATGGATTAAAATGCAGTCACGTATTGAATTTGATTCCGCATTTCAACAACCACTGACAAAAGATCTCATCTTGATGTTTCCATTTAAGTGGCGTTTCGGAGCAACGATAGAACACAAATGGCACTGAACAATTATGGTGCTGTTACATTATATGCATGAAGTTATTGATGATGTGCTATTAGGACAAACCAGGATCTGTCATTGTTAAATATAACTTCTCACCTTAGGAAATAACAATGCAGGAGAGTAACGATGCTTATTAAAACACAATAGATAATCGTTTGTCTGTTATAAATCTTCTTAATTGTTTCTCTTGACAATAATTGTTTCTTGTCCACGAGTGTTTTTATATTCCTCTAATGCGAAGTGATAACCGGATACTGATAAAGTATACTGGAAGTTAATGTCTTAATCCATGAACGAAAACTTGTATCCTTTGAAGTTGTGGATTACACACTAAAACGACATACTGAAGCAAGTAATTTATATTAGTCTAAACGATCACAATATGTGGTTGCCTCGTTGATATCCATCAAACCACAACACCGAAAATCCGATTCAATTTTCACAAAAAGCAACAAATTCGCATTACCATAAGTAAAATTAGAAAATCGCAATAATCGAAATACGTTGAGCAAAGAAAAGCTTCAAATTTCACTATCCAATCTGAAACTAGCTTTATAAATCTGATACTCCACGCATATGAACAACAATGTGCTTAGAAATCAGAAAAAAAAAATTTCAAATCCTTATGTTTAAATCGTAAATTTATATTCGTGTTTGAAATCGAAGACTTCCTCACACAGAAGTGATCTATTATTGAAATTTGTCTACAATAGAATTAATCTAAGAATCCAGATACCTAAATTTGGTCTTAAAGCTGAAATCTCTTGAGAGTAATTATCTACGAAGAACACAATTTCAAAATGAATGTTGGCGAGACATGGTAGTTATTGGTAAACAATTACTTAAACAAAAAAAAAACATAAACAATATACTTATCATTAAAAATACATCACAAAATAATTCGGATAAACCTTTTAACTTTTAATGTTCTCCTTCCTCGATGATCAGAAAATCGTTGGTGATTAACATGTATGTATTCCATTAACACAACATTTTATTCTAGCTGTATGCAATATCAATCAAAGTCAATTGCCTTATAACTTTGGATCACTCGCATGCATATTGATCGAGGAATCATCACAATAAATATGGAATTACAATCAAAATATATCTAACGGACTTTGACAAATCTCGAATCCAGGAAAAAATTAGAAACATTATCGCCGAATGGTTCATGCACAAATATTAGAATTTACTTCACTCCACTCCAGATATGTCAGATGTTGAGCTCAAAAGAATTTGCAATTCCAGTTTTCCACTCCAATTGTATCATCAAGGATATACACATAAAGATTCATACACTAATAACGGTCAATGCACACAGATACTGCACAAGAATCCATCTAAAACTTAATAGTATAACGATCTATTTTGGTGGTAATTAGACTCACCAATCGTCAAGCTGTTCTCGAAAACGATCTTATTAGTTTGTATCCATGTTATGAATTGACGCTGAAATGAAAACTTTTTCAAGTAGCTTCCACGTATGAAGTGATGCGACGATCAGGCAAAACAATTTAATAGAACTGGACCATCAGATGACATCGTGACAGTCAGTGATGGTATGAAGTAGAATATCCCCGATAGTAAATCAATTATAACTACAAGACGTACGCTCTAATAAATTCTCATGTCTTACAGGCTATATGGTATGAAACAAATCGGAAATTTTTCTAAGAACATTACTCACACTTGGATTCCTTTTTCCTGATTCCATACAGTTAATAGCGTGGAAAAAATTTAATCCGGGATATTTGTATCTGTATTGGTGTCCATACATACTGATCACATGAAATAATTAATGCTGCAGGGCATCGGCCGATTTTCTTTCTTCATCGATAACAAAAACTTGTGAAGCTTTCTTGATCTATTTTTCTGCAATACAAAACACATTTAACGTTCAAGAGTAAATTGGTTAGGTTTCCACACCATTAATGATGGTGTTAAACATAATTACTCACAAATTAACTCTTGCTTAGCCGGCCAATGTCATGCAGACATAAGGAAGCATTACAAGTGTTGCTCGAGTAATTCGATTACATTGAAATTTTCTCAAAAATGAATATTTAACATATTTCTTTGAAAGCCAGATGAATAGACTTGCTTAAGGTCACTTTACAATGTTCAAAATATGGCTATGGAAACCCATAAGTTAAGTCTACCAGAAATTTAAAAAAAGCATCTTATGAAACACTCTGAAAAAGATTAGGTTAAAATTCAAATGGATGCTTAATGCATAGCAGTTCTAGATTACTATTCAAAATTAAAAAAAAAACAAACAGAAAACTCAGGAGGAATTTGAAGAGAGGGTCCAATTTATATAGCTACAAATACTGACATTCACCAAACTGTGAAACACATACTGTATTGCTGTTTAGACATCTAAAAGTACATAACAGTCTTAACAGCATCTTTAATCATATAGAATGGTGGTCCACAACCTGGAGAACTAGTACCAGTTCAGACCCCTATCATATGGTAAAACTGTTTTGGTCGCAAAGAATGCAAAAGCAGGCTCAGGATCTATTAATCGTACTCTAATAACAGGTATGATTCTAAAGGTTAATAGTTTTAGTTGCTTGGTCTGAACATTCTATCCTGTTTAAATAATATTGTCCGAATCGTGTTTTTTATCGATTCAGATATGGATTAAACTTATTCAACATTCCATCACATAGGTGACTGACTGTGGATAATGTTTTTCATAGAATAAGAGTTCCAATTCCAATGTGTTAACCCATAAATACTGACTGTGGTCACAACCCTCATTGAACAGATCACCAATTTTCAGTAGATTTCATTGTCTAGCGATCATAAAGAACCGAATGACAAAAGATTATTTAAAATATGTAGACCAAGACATCAGACATTTAAATATTCAGAATAACATTTATACCATTAGAACAATTTTAATCAATTAGCAGTGACTAAGATAAGTCCTGTCTCAAACAAATATTCCCTTAAATGCAATTATCGGACCTGATTTAGTCTGGTGAATAATTTAATAAAATGAGGAAGAAAAACAGACAGACTAGTTTTAGACCGAAATCATAATAAAAAAAAAATTGAAATCGATCGAATAAAGAAATGCAAAAAGAAAAAAATGACATCCGGTTGTTCGACATGTTACATGTGGTGATGTAACGTCATAACGAAAATCATATAATTTACATTTATAATCTAACATTAAACTGTGCTTGAAGCTTTATTTATTTACAGGTATCATCGTCATTCAACACCTTTATTGAAAAGGTCATACCTATAATTGTATATCTATATTGAAATGACGTATAAGAATCATTGGAATCTCTTATGGGATAGTTGTGACATGTTGAATTCTGAAACAATCGCAATATCGCAAGATCGCGAGTTTCGATTGTCCTGATCGTTACTATGCTGCACTGATCATATGCGCTTCCAATGTAAATCTATTGGCAGCGTGTACCATTCTGAGACAAGTTCTCTCATGGAATCAACCCATAAAACTAAGATGCACTAACATAAACTATAACCTCCTAGAGTTGTTTCTTTGAGGAGTGGAACTTTATGGTCACTTTGTCTGATAGAATGGCTGTAAACGGAGAAATTCTGTCAGCTAACGAGCATTAGTTTGTAATAAAGGGAAAGAAAACAGCGATTCAGCAATCGACATGTAATGATAAGATTTACACGGTTTAGTAAAATAATGCTACATTGAAATGAATGTATAGCGTAATGGCTATGACTCGATGCTATTTTCAGAAGGAAGCGATGATCTTTTAAGTTTTTGTTGATTGAACATTGGAATTTGAGTCTGTGTAGGAATATCCCAGGCTTATTTCTCTTCTAACAACATTAATGACGTTACATATTGCTATCGTGAATTTTACAAGTGCTTGCTATTTACTGTTGATTTATTTGACATTTAGCGCCGTCTGTTAGTCAGAAGTCGTCCACCAGACGCATTATAACAATTAGTAATCGCCTCCGATATGGTATCAGTATTAGAAGATAATGAGTATTATTATTCTCTCTAAATAGCACCTACTTAGCAAGTAAATATAAATAATTTTTCTGCTCTCGGAATCGCCATAGGTGCAGTTGATAATTAGCAATCCATTTCAGTTGTCTACAGTCTAAGATTCAGCAAGATGTTTGACTCCCTTCCTCATTCTTGTGTCACATTTCACAGTCAATATTTCTCTTGTTCGGCTGGTTTAAACATTGCATTTTATCGCACAGTCACCGTCAGTTGTGAGATTTATGTCTTTCGGTAGCAAGTAAGGGTTTGTTTTTGTTTTTCATGATTGTTTATCACCAGCTACAATTCATTATGAAATCTTGTCTTAGTGGTACAACTCGTCAATTCTTGTCCTATATGTTGTCTCCGAACACCGCCTCAAAATACCAGTATAAGGCCAAGTTGTATAACAGCACGACAGATTGCCGTCTAGAATTAATTTTCTATTAACTACCAGACTGACCTAAACAGTACCGCCATTTGTATTCTTTGTTCATGCCGAGACACCAAAGAAATGTTAAACAGTAAGTAGCCAAGTTAATCACTTGGACGTCCATTCAGTTACGAGAAGGGAATGGAAAGGTATACTTTGATGTCATTATCTATATATGTAGGAACAACTTCATTTTCTGGAAGTAGAATTTTCCAGGACGTTACATATTACTTGTAATTCCTTATCCCCTTACCCAAAAAAGAAATGGAAAAAATTAAGGCACTAAAAGTTATGTCATCATTACGTTAAAAGCTTTGTATTTACATATTG